GATATGTTGAACTTTAAGTCCCTACAGAATATGATGAAAAAACATTTAAAAATTAGAATATATTTTTTAAAATAGGCATAAAGAATTATATACTTCTTATGTTTACATATAATTCCAAAAATCTAACCATATACAACCTTGAAACAAACAGTCCCACAATATTCCTTTTCTTATCTCTTGCCTTCATTCACCACCCACTTCTTTTTGAACAACAGTCTACCTGAGAGACAGCACAGCAGCAACTGGCATGTCATGACAAGCAGCCCGTATTCAGAAGACCAGAATGACAGGCACTCCAAACATGAAACTACTATTACAGATTACCATCTGCAGTGCAGTTGCTTACTTCACAGGTATCAGTATATATAGTTAAGTCAGGGTGAGAATCTTTCCAACTATAACTAGCTTTTTACTTGATACAAAGAATTTCATCTAAATATTTAAAATCTTCCAAATAGCCACAGCAATACTAACATTTAATGAAAGCCTAGGGCCCAGGAAAAACTAAATTAAGACCTGAACTATGAACACCTGCACTTTAATCAAGAAAGATAAAAACCAAGTCAATGAATGTCTGGTTCCATCTCGGCAGCAGCAGTTGGGATAACCAGCGAAATCACCGTAACAGCTGGTCACGGTCACCACAACCACCACAGTGTCTACCTAACGGGAGAGCTCCTGGCTGTTTTACACACGTTCAGCTCATGTTTCTCATTGCAGGCAGTTTTATAGAATACTTTCCTTAAGTGGGTATTTCTAGTATTTTCCCTTAAAATGAGCAATGGTTGGTTATCCAGGCTGCCCAAGTTAGGCTACAGTGAGGATGATGGGAAAATTTCCCAGAGAAAATACCAGATTCAAAAGCTGACAAAAGAAGCTGACACAAAGCACGGGGTTACTTCCATCCAAACATCCAGCTGTGCCCCTAGGCTAGACACTGAAATGCCCTGGGGCTTGCTTCTTTAAATTAAGTACAGAATAACAATAATATTTACTATCATTTGTGACTGTTAACAAGATAGAATTTAGGATCAAGACTATCACACACTGACACCACAATAAATGTTAATTTGTGTAACTGCTATTTTTAAGACAAATCTATGTTAATAAATAGAATTATTGGTTGTATAAGCTATCATATATCTTTACCACAACCATATCTTTATTCTTTTTTTTTTTTAAAAAATATTTATTTATTTATTTTGTGTGTGTGGCCAGTTCATCCCACCAGGGGGCGGGGCTGGCTGGCATGTGGTGCTGGGGATTGAACTGAGGTCCCTGTGCTTTATGCTTTGTTTAGCTTGTTCTAAGCAGGTGCTTTAGACCACTGAACCATCTCACCAGCCCATATCTTTATTCTTTCGTTGAACCTATGGTGCTGTAATTTCAGATGCTGGTGAACTGTCCATGTTGCACCTTTTTTAGTCACTGCATTTCAAGACTCTAAAGGTGTGTCATGATAACTCCTTCTAAAATCACGAGAAAGCAAGAAGAACACGCTAACCCGTCTATTTCAGAAGAAATAATCACTCATTTTCCTCACAAACAAATAAAACAATCTCTGTGGCTACTAATGGTAATAATGATGCTGATCTGGAAGTTTTTAATTTGCAAATCACTCAGCACAATGGTGAGAAAGCTCTTCCTATCTCTTGCTTTTCCTTACTCTGAATTCTCCACAGGACCAACCACGTTTTTCACTGTATTCACACTTGGAAACAAACTGTAGGCACCCACACAAGTGGAAGCCTGAATTTTTTTTTTCCCATTTTCTAACAGTTTATTGAAGCAGGGAAGAGAAATGGAGATCCACAAATTTTTCTCTACACAAATTTACAGAAAACCTCTAAACCGTAATTATCTCACAAAACACCAAACAGTTAAATTGCACTAAGACAGTTTGGAGGACTGTTACTTAATATTTAAACTTTTGCCAGGACTCAACAGAAAATCTCGAGTTTAGAGTCATTCTTACATTCTCTCTCTGAAGCAGCAAACTGCCACAGAATTGTAATCTTGTCACATGAAATCTTTTACTTTACAAATCAAAAATATAAAATTTTCTAGCACAGTGAAGGAAGCAAAATCAATGCTAAGGTAGTTCCTTAACATTCAAGAACTGATATCCAAATATTGATTTTTAAGCCTGTAAGAAGCTGGACTTTGAAGGCATTTAATGAAGACAAACAGTAATAATAATAACAAAACAAAATTAATTTGAAGTTATTTAAAAAATTTAGGGCTCAGTGGATTAAAGCATCTGCAAGCAGGCACAGGGGTCCGGGGTTCGATCCCGGCCTTCCCTGCCAGCCCTGCCCACAGGGTGCACTGAGATGGCAATTGAGACTGGGCGTGGTGGCGCATGCCTGTAATTCCAGCTCTTGGGAAGCTGTGAACAGGCGGATCACTACGAGTCCGATCTAGTAGTGAGACCCTGAACACCCTGTAGACTCTTCCCTAAAAAAAAACCCCAATCAATCAATTAATCAATAAATAAATCTATCTTCACCTATACCTTATCATTAAAGACAAGTGAAGAAAACAATACATCATTCTAACATCTTATAATTAGGAAGTTCACTTGATTTATATTCACTTCCCGTGGGAACTAATCTGTCAATTTGGTGCTGTTTGTTTTTGTGGTGCTAGGGACTGAATCCAGGGTCTTTCACTAGCCAAACAGATGCTCTATCACTGAGCTATGCTACCAGAAGTACATCCTCTATGTGCTAACTGCATTTTCACTAGTTTCACCGGAAAGTAAACACACTGCGTGAATGGCGCAGGAACCACAGCACCCCCGAAGGATTACACAGATCAAACTCGGGCAGCAGAGCTGATATTTAGGCTCCTAAACCAGGATGACACGTGCCTCTGCCCCTTGCTGAGATGTGACGTCTGCTTCTCCTGTCATAAATGAGGCCAAACTCAATGACATGGAAACTTTGCCAGCACTGTAATCTAATGTTCCATTCATTATGTGTTATTGATGCTGTCAGATAACAGACATTGCTTGGTACTGAGGAGCTTAATGGAGTCCAATAAAAAATAATTTACTCCTAATCCTGCAGATCATGAGCCTAAGATCTTTGTTTTATGAAACTAGGATAACATGAAAGGCTACACTGCCTTTAAAAGTATGAACCTTTGAAGATGTTTGCAGAAGAAATTAAGAAGTATGTGAAGACTATAAAAAGGAAAAGAACAGGAAAAGACTGAAATTCTCCATTTATAGAAAATTCTGGGAGTCAAGCCTTTGTAGCTGAGTTCAAACCACAGCTCTGGTCATACACATGTCAGTTATTAATCCCCTCAGAAACGGGTTCCATGATGTTAGTTTGGAGCTTTCCTAGAACTTTCTCAAGCACCTCTCTGTCCTCTCGACCACATCTCACGCCCGAAGCCTATGAAAACCTAAATCCCAGGGAGCTCAGAAGCACCCCAAGTACCTGGGTACTACCCCCATATCTGCTCATTCAGGCTCAGGCACTGGAGGACAGCTATTTTAGAAGGGTCTAAAAAACAGTATCTCTCTCAAGAATAATAACATTCAACAAAAATGAAAAATTCCCCACCTTGAATACAGCAAGCTGTTGATTAATTGTCTCTATCTCCATCCCAACAGGACCTTGTGACTCTTCATGTTCTTCAGCTTTCTGAAGCAGAGTAGAAAACTCTTGAAATTTACTATAGAATTCTTCAAGACGCTCAAGCATCCCTTCAACCTGCTCTTCTCTAGTGTGTGCTCGGTCCAGTAACTTGTTGCACTGTTTGCTTAAGGCCTCCAAGTCCCTCTTGATTCCAACGAGGTCCGGGGAGGCCTCCTCTGTGGCCAGCATCATCTTGCAGGTTTTATTGGCATTGTCATTGCTTGCGATGAGGGCTCCTAGTTTCTTCAGAAAGGTTTTTATAGCCTCCTTTTGCATTTTCAATGTTTCTACATCCCTCCCCACTGGATCCATGCTATCCAGTTCATCATCAAACTCTGCAAACTGAGAAAACATTTCTCGGATGGTATTCTGGAAATGTCCAATGCCCTGAAGCTTGGTTTCTAAGAATGAACATTTTTCATCAACCTGCTGACTTAGTGTGCTATGCTCTTGAGCTAAGGTTTCTGCTTGTAATAAAATGTCAGAGGTTCCCTTTGAGTCTGAGGCTTCTACCACAAGATCCTGAGCAAGCCTTTTGGCCAAGTCTACCTGGTGCTTCAAGGTCTGCAGCGCTTTCTGCTGAGCCTGCAGCATGGTCAGGCATTTGTTACTGTGAGCCTGGGGCCCCAGGGAATCATGGACATCCAACTGTTCCTTTGCATACTGAAGCTGCCTATTGGCTTCTTTAGAAACTTCTTGAAATTCTTTAAACTTCTGGGCCATGTTTTCCAGAGAGAACTTCTTCTTATGAAGTTGTTCAGTGATTGTGTCCACCTTCTGGATCAGTGCTTTATTCTCATCTGTAACCACCTCTTTATCTACTTCACAGACACTGAGCAGGCTATTGGCTGTGTTGTTCAGCAGTTCTACCATACCAAAGTGCTGGTCCATTTCCTTCTGCAAAGACTTCAACTTGGAAACAGAAGTCTCTGTTTCAGCAGGATCCAAACAAAACTTCACTTCCTCCAGGTTGTTCTGACATTTGTCCACCCATGGCCGGAGAGTCTCCACGTGTTCTTTGTACTTGAGGGCTTTCTCAAATGCATCTTTTAACTTGTCCTCTCTTTCTTTCACTTGCTTACTAAATCCATCCCAATTGTTTTTAATTGTGGTGAGATGTAGCTGTAAGGCGGTCTTCTCAGACCCTTGTGTTTTCAGTAACAGATTTTCACCTTCTGCAATGGTTTTTTCATAAATATTAGACTCGGCAGCTAAAGTTTTACTGAAGTCTTTCTGATCTTTAATTAACGATTCTAAGACTTTGAGTTTGGCTGATATTGGATGAGACTTCTTTTGCTCTTCTTTCTTTGTATCCAGCCAAGCCTGAAAATCTCTAGACATCTGCTGAAATTGATGAGAGCTTGCACAGGCTGACTGAAGGTGCTGGACAAGGTTTTCTGAAAGTGAAATTACAGACGTGTTTACATCCAAAGCTTAATTTAATCTATTGAAAGCCCAGAAAACAATCTCCAAATGACTGTACAGGGATGTCTAAAAGCAAGGATTTCAGCACAGATGTCAAGAACTACAAGAATGACTGACATAAGGGGAAACTATGTGTAACAATAAAAAAAGAGATAAGGTAAGAATCAAAAAGCAGGAAACAGGCAACAATGATCACAAAATCAGGAAAAGTGCGTTTCAGCACATGGTGCGGTTGGTCATAGCACACTTCCCCTGTTCTACTGTCATCCTTCCCATTCTGTATGGAGAAGAGACAACCAAAGATCTCAGCTGGGTGACAATCTATTTCTTGGAAAATTTGAGTTTTTTTTGCTTCTATGACTTTTATATATAATAGAGGTTTAGTTATTTGTGCACAGTCTCCCAGCTCTGAGGAGGTGAAGTCAGGAAACCAACCCACGCAGCTTTTATGCTATGTTGCCTTCATGTCAAAACGGGAGTAAGTCTGAAATGCTTGCTATAATCAATAAATAAATCCAATCAACTAAAAATATAAATTGAGAGTTCCATAGCAACACTTAGGAGCCAGCATTATGTTTCAAACAGACTAGCGCAACACAATATGTCTTCTTTTGGCAAGAAGCTTCTGGCTTCCTCTAACCCACTATGTGCCTCTAACTAATACCAGCACAGCCAGAACAGAATTAGTGCTGCAGCAAGTAAGGAGAAAAAAGAAAACCCCACACATTTCTCTAAGTTATCTATGACAGAGTAGGCGGGAGCTAAGATGCGGCTCCACGATAGAGCCTGCGAGTCTGCATGAGACCTTGTTTGATTCTCAGCACTATCAATTGAAAAAAAGGAGACATGAGGATGAAGGAAAACCTTTTAAATATCTCATCAAGGGCCAGCAAGACAGCTCAGTGGACTAAGTGCCTGCGCAGGCAAGCTCAGGGACCAGGGTTCGATCCCCAGTACCTCAGGCCATGCTGGTCCTCCCACCAGGTGCGTTGAGCTGGCCACCAAGACTGGGAGTGGTGACGCACGCCTGTAATCCCAACACTAGGGAGGCTAAAGACAGGATGATCACTACGAGTCCAAGCCGCATAATGAGATCCTGTCCCGATACCTAAAAATAAACATCTAATTAACTGTATTGGGGGGGTGAACTTAGGTAATATCATATACAAATGTTTACATGTATATATCTAACACCAACCAGGGCTACCTCACATTTGAACGGGTCTCTCCTGAGCAGACTCCGCCCACAGGGCAGCTGTCTGGGACACGAATGGGGCACACAAGGTGCACCCGGGCTCTTGTGTCCCACCTGCACTGTGCTCATCTTCTTAGGGCTCTGGATTACTGGAAACAGTGATACGGGACATCTCTGCTATGTATGGTATCTATTCTAAACAGCAAAGACAAGTATTAGGAGAAGACAAACCTGCTTTCTGCTCAGTATCTTTAAATGATTTTAAGATGCTGTCCAGCTGCCTACTGAGTTCTGCTTTCAGGTACTCCTCTTTCACCAGCGCTGACAGGCCCTCACAGAGCGCCTGGGCCGTGCTTATCTGTGCTCTTTCCTGCTCTATTTCCTGCATCAGCCTCTGGGCTGCTTCCAGCTGCTGGTTTACAGCATCGGCTCGGGTGCTTGCAGCCAGGCCGCTGAGCTTCCTCTCCAGCTCACTCAGCTTCTCCGAGAGGCTTCGCAGCAGGCTCTGATACTGCGTGCTCTGGACGATGGCCTGGTCGATCCGGTCACATCTGTCCCCCAGCTGTCCTGTGAGGCTGTTCCACTTCTGGGTCACAGCTGCCAGCTGCTCTTTCACAGCCTTGTGCAAAGAAGGGTCTTCTCCAGGCCTGCTCAGAATACCCTGGCCGGCTGTCCTGAGCTGCTCATACTGAGGTTTCCGGGTGTCAAATTCTTGCAACAGAATCTAAGGTAAACACAAATTATTGTATAGTAAGTTATATTATTGTATAAGTCATTATATTGCTATAAATTAGTATATTGGATAGTATCGTACACTGCATATAGTGTATATGGTATATAATTGTATACAGTATATACAATGCAATACTATATATAGTACTATAAAAAGTATATGATATATTGCAAGTCATTTTTATTGTACAGTAAGTTATAGAAAACACAATTTTAAGCACCCAAAGAGACAGAAATGGTACTTACTTATCGCTTTTAGGGTTTGTTTTTAAGCTATCACTCTTACACTTCATACTTCCGGAACAGTGCAATTACATTAAACTAATTGCTAATTCAAAGAGTCTCAGTGATTCAGAGAGAACACTTTGTCTAAAACGATCATTTTTTTCCAAAGGGAAGAACAGAGTATATCTGCTTTGGTAATATAGGCAACATCAAGAAAAGTTCATGTAAATTTTTCACCTATTATCACATTTGTCTTTTCCTAACCATGTTTTCTCTTTGCAGAATTTATGAAATAGTCCAAATACTCTATGCGCAGGAAAATCCATAGTGATAATTGTTAGAATGCATTATGCTTGCAATGTATTCTTCTGCAAAGTTTTTCTCGTTTTTCTAATTTTTTTTTCTTTATTTTAATTTTTTTCTTATTTGGTGGAGGGGTTTGAGGTAGGGTTTTGCTTTGTAGTGCATGCTGCCCTTGAACTCACTATGGTGCCAGATTAGCCTTGAATTCATGATCCTCCTAGTTCAGCCTCCTGAGTACTGGAATTAAGGCATGCACCACCATGCCTGGAAATAAGTTTTTTTTAAATATAGGATTTATTGAGATTTACAGCTTAAAGTTTAGCCAGAAAAACTAACTTGGTCAGAATACAGATTCAGCATGACTCTCACTCTAAACAATCCAAACTTTCTGCCTTTTGGTGTATTTTATGTATGATTTTATTTATTTATTTTTATGTATTTGGTACAGGGTCTCACTAGGCAGCTTGTTTTCAGTCTCCCCAGAGCCGGGATTGCAGGTGTGTGCCACCAAGTCTGGTCTTGGTGGCTGGCTGTGCCTGGGGGCAGGGCCAGCGCATCCTGTGGTGTTGAAGATCGAGCCCTGGTCCCTAAGCTCGCCTAAGCAGGCACTTAGCCTGCTGAGCTGTCTCACTGGCATTCAGATATTTATCTTTGTTTGCCTTTTCTTCAGAAAATATCTGTATTTTTAGCTTATGGAATTACCTTCCAGCTTTAAAACCGCTATTCATACCTAAAGAAATCTAAATGAATCACCTCGGTGCTTCAGCTTAATTGCTATGACTTCAGCTTAATGAGTTTTCCCTCCCCTCTGTGCATTTGTCAGCTTGGTAATTAGCTGCCTAGGGCACTGGGCTTCAAGGCTTCCTCTCTGCTTCCTTCTCTGTCCCTTTCTAATTTTTTCTCTCTACCCCTTGGGACTAACTACATGAATTGTACAGATTTCATTACCAATTATCTCCAACAAAACAAAACCTCCAGGGTTGGTGAGATGGCTCAGTGGTCTAAAGCACCTACTTAGAACAAGCTTAGCAAAGCACAGGGACCCCGGTTCAATCCCCAGCACCACATGCCAGCCAGCCCCGCCCCCTGGTGGGCTGAGCTGGCCACACACACACACACACACACACACACTAAATAAATAAATAAATTTAAAAAAAAAAAAAAAAAAAAAAAAAGACCTCCAAAGAGTAATTCTAAGCAATAAAATGATGGATAGTTTCTCACAAAAATATGAAATAATTAGATTAATACCTCAGAGAAGGCCCTCCTTTTTTATGTATTTAGTTCACAGATCGGACTAGTACTGATCTTTCCTGTTTTTCAGGCTCCCAAGCGCCAGAATTATAAGCACGCGCCACCAGGCCCAGCCTGTCGCCCTCTCAGGGAACAATGGGGGCAGAGCCAGCACGGCAGGCCAGAAATTGAATCCCCAGCCCCTTTGTCTGCCTCAGTGGGTGCTTTAACCTGCTACACTATCTGACCGGCCCTAAAGAAGGCCCTTTTCTCACACGGTCTGTACCAACCATGCTCTCACCAGAGTCATCTGGGGATGCGGCCCGCTCGAGCTCAAGGAGACTCCTCTGGGACGACTCACGACTGTGATTCTCTAAAATGCACAGCGTGGGGAGCCAGGAAGGACAAATCCATTCTGAAGCACCAGCGCAGAGTCCAGAGCTAGCGTGAGTATGATGACAGCATTGCTTGTGTGAGTCAAGGTGCTGCGCCTGAGGCAGACGTAAGCAATACTCACCTGTACCTGCTGCTTTTGTGTGTTCAGCATATTTGGGTCGATGGACAAGGGCCCAAGCACACTGACCATCAACTCTTTTTCCACAAGCCACTGTTTTAACTGAGCTTCCACAGTCTGGAATTGGGTTAGATTATTGGAGGATTCTTCCAGCTTTTGTTGTCTATCAACTGTTAATTGGTTGAGTTCTTGCCACTTAGAATCTAAAAGAAAAGGATAAAATTGGCATTTAGTTTAAATACACTTAATATGACTATAGGAAGACTGTACAATATGAATCAAAATGACATGTAATGGGCATCATTCCAGCTTTGTAATTCTTCTTACACAGCTAATTAAGGACCTAACCTAAGAGGATTAGCTGTATGCCACAGATTTTTATTGACTTAGTGGTTATCAAGTGTAAGAATAAAGTTGAATATAATTGAATCTTTTTTAAAAAGATACTGTACCAACTGGAACATCCCTGAAGGAATAATCATGATTCTAAGATCTCTCATTTCTCCTAGAATTCGTACAGAATCTGTTTACTCAACTATGAGAACAACTATTAATCCTTTTTTTTTTTTTGGCAGAACCGGGGATTGAACTCAGATCCTTGCATTTGCCAGTCAAGCGCTTATCCTACTGAGCCATCTCCCCGGCCCCTATTAATCCTTTTTGAGTGTCAAATATTCAAGTTTCATTTTTAACTAAATGGCTCCAAAATTTGTGTATCTAAGCCCAGTCATCCTCTCCTATTCAAACTGCATATTAATAACCATCTGCTGGATAGTTGTACTAAAAAACATTACCAACTCTTCCAATTCAAAGCTTAAAAATAAAATTAATAGTTCTCTCAGAACTAGTGATTTTTTTCATCTTACAGATTTCTTTCCAAGGTTATCGTCTCTGCCGTGTCAATGCAATGTAACACTTCTGGATGTTCTCTTAGAACCTCCATTCCCTCCTACCTCCCTGATCTTAAGACTTTAAATCACGCTGTAATTCCCCTTCAGTCCTCCTCATGGTTTGCTGAGAACAGTGGTCTCAAGCACCAGCTGTAGCAGATGCGGGAAGGATTGCTGACAATGACTTTGGGGCTTCTCCCCCAGGGTTTCTGATGCATGGGCTGAGTGTGAGATCTGGAAAGTAGTTCAGGAACTACCAATCCCAAGTCTTTTAACTGGTACTGCTATTATTGTGTTACTCAGCTACAACACAATTGCTTCTAAAATATTTACCCTTAAAAAGGTATCACTTTAAAACGTGGCACCCTCCTGCTCAAATCATTCAACGCCTAACCCCTCACCACCTAGATCAGTACAGACGAAACTATGGCACAAAGGTCGCAGTTGGCTATTGGTTAGCATTGAAAACATTTTCTTTCTTTTTTTTTTTTTTAATGTATTTAGGACAGGGTCTACAGGGTCTCACTAGCAGCTTGGACTTGTAGTGATTCTCCACTTCTCAGCCTCCCAAATGCTGGGATTACGGGTGCACACCACCATGCCCAGTCTCAATCGCAGCCTCAGGGCGCTCGAGGGGCAGGGCTCACATAGCACGCTGCAGACTGAACCCAGGCCGCTGCACTCTGCCTAAGCAGGCGCCTTAGTCTGCTGAGCTATCTGGCTGGCTAATCACTGAAAACTCTTAAAGGGCTGCCACTGATCCTAGATGATCAAACCTGAAGACCGGCTCAGCATTCAGGGGCTCTCACACGCTGGCCTCAGTCTACTGATATCAGCAGTTCCAGAAGTCAAACGTCTCCCAGCAGAGCACCGACCGAGGCAAGCACATGAACATACGTATCGTTTAAAAATGGTCATTAATGATGCTATCTGATTTTTTCACTTAGCATAATATACTAAAGGACTTATGTTAATAGACTTATTTAATCCCTGAAAACTTGTTCTAATGACAAAACTCTATCATGGCATGATCTAGTCAACCTGACAACAAAACAGAGCAATTAAAGCAGTCAGGATGGAGAAACATCAAAACCACTAGGAAGCTGAAATACACATTCCTTTCTAAAATGTCTTGATAATTCTCTGCCCAGGTAACTTAGTCATCCCTGGGACAGCCACCAAGACAGGGAAAGGTGGAAACAAGGTAGTTGGATTAAAGTACCACCGAACTTCAGACACTGCACACTGACTTTTTTTCAAATCAAAACGTACTTACAGATTTCTAAACTACCACAGCACATCTGACTCAAAAGAAAGGATATTTTAAAAAGCATAATGGGACAACTGAAAGTTAAATATTTATAACAACTGGGAGTACAGACTCAGCTATGTGCCAGACACGTTAACTGGCACATGAGCTAGAGACATCGACTTACCGAATTCACCAAAGTGATATTACAAAGCAGCACAAACTGTCACTCATTTGTGTCTTACACTCATTTTCCATAGCATAATAAAAAATGCTGAGACAATAGGCTTGTGAAGAGAATTCTGCACCCATGAGGCTTGTGTAGAGAATTCTACACAGGGAGAGGATGGGGTGGGAGGATAACCCTGCCTGAGGAAGGAAAATCAGCAGTCTTCACACAAGCTACTTTGCAATAGTGGTTGGGAGAGGAGCCGAGCATGAAGCACAGGTGGAGGCGGCCCAGGGTAGCCCAGTAAACGTGCACCGAGCCTACTTTTCCCAAGCAAATGAGTAAAAAAAAAAAAGAAAAGAAACATTAATGAAGAGTGACTCAATGCATAGCATTTTACTAAAAAGTATCTACCTTCTTCATAAAGATAAAAGTTACATGCCAATTCTCAGAGGAACATAATATGAAATAACACTTAAAATATGCAAAAAACAGATTCTGAAATGTTAAAGGAACTCCAACAACAACTGAGGCTGCTGGGTGTTTTCTGGTAAATATTACAATAAAAATGAAAAATGACTGTGCTTCTGTTTATGGAATTCAGTGTAAACAATGTAACATACCTATTTCTGTCAGCATCTGCTTCCATTTGGGGGCCTCAGGAATATCTGGGTTCTCTTCCAACAGCTCAGTCAGTTTGTCCTTCAACTCCTGCACTTTGTTTACATTTTGCTTCAGTTCTGCCTCAAATGACTAACAAGGAAAAAAAAAATGACACAAGAATACCAGCATCAAAAGACAGAAACATAATTATGATACACTTTTTTTCTGTAACATGACCAAAAGAGGAAAAAAAATCCACTGCTAGACCCTGCATGGTGGAAGCGTAGACTCAGCAGGCCTTTTCCCTTCCTCAGCTCTGCTGGTCTCCAGCTCTGGGGTAAGGGAAGCCTGCAAAGGAACATGCTAACAACTACGGAGGTATGACTCTTCTTCACTTCGCTGAGGAAGAATTTCATACTCTCCAACCACTGCGCAAACACTAAGATGTTATTAGTGAGTTTATAAGAAAATCAGTTCTGTTAAAGGCTGCCAGAATTTCAGAACCTTCTAGGGAATTTCACTTTCGTGGATAACACAGTAAAGAGTGCAAATGTAAGTTAGTAATTTATAGAAATTTCTGTCATTATTACCACTATGGAGAGATATCTGCTCAATCCTGAAGCCCTAAAAAAGAAATGCTATCTTAGAAAGGGGAAGCGTTAGCCACCCTGCTTTATACTGTAAGTCAGAGGAGATCCCTGGTACAGAATTTTTCTGATAGTTGACCGGCTACTACCCAAAACTGACACCGATTCAGAGGTCACATACACCGGGCAGCCTGCTCATCTTTGTGTGTCAGAGCGCATAAAAAGTGACTACTCTCAGCCTGTACACAAAGGGATGTTAGGCGAAACTTCCCAATCGCTAGCTGCAGGCTATACATCTAGAAATGAGCACAGAGCGCCTGACTCCAGGACTCGGGTCCCAGCGCGACTCTTCTCCTCCTCATCGGCAGTGAGTTCACCCATGACGTACCTTATTCTGCTCAAACTGAGTCTTCACAGCTTCAGTGTCGGCAGGTGCCGGCGTCTGGTGCCATCGCGCCGCAGTCTTGTTCATTTTCTCTAACCACTGCATCATTGAGCTTGACTCTTCCTGAGCCTTCTGCAGTCTGAAGAGCTTAGTGCTCAATTCAGCTATCTTGTCCTTGAGTAAGAGGCCAAGGTCTTCATAACCGTGACTTATGTCAGTCATGTCCTTTTGAACAGATTTTAAACCTAGGAGTAAGAAAAACAAATCATGCCGACACATGTCCAGCGTGTTGGGAGTAAAAGCCTGTTTTACATGATACTCCTTTTTATTTTGTCATTCTTAAACTTCTCATGATAAATCACAGACATTTCAGAACTAAAAATGTTAGCTCATCTTATAAGGCTATGAAATTCAAAAAGGCACTTTACATGGAACAGAATATTCAAATAATAAAATGTATTTCTCCAGCACAAAACTCAAATAATGTTTTTCCAAGAGACCATGTTACATTAATCAAGCATCATTTAAAATTACTATTCACCTTTATTTGTCAAAAAGTCCTGTGTATTTTTGTCGGTTCCTTCACCATTTAATATTACTCCACCTGAAAAAATATGAACACTGAATTCAACCGATTTTCCTTATACATTAATGGCACTTGTCATTAAATCAAACCCTGTAAGTAGTAATCATTTAAAAATGTTATTTCTATTCAAAAATATAAAATATTAATACACCTTCCAGTGAAGGCCCTTGCACCCCCCTTTTCTAGACAGATGACACTGGGGTAGGGCTGAGGGCCGAGTCCACTGTCTTGCACATGCTAGGCGGGTGTCCTAGCACAGGGCTGCACACCCAACCCTATGAATTCAACGCTTGCAGTATAATATGATCATCTTTGAAGCACTAGAGTGTTGCTCATTCGTAGTATATAAAATCATCCTTACATATCCACAACAACTTCCTGACAAGGTTGCTCTACACCTAGTTATCTCAATGACACAATCCCTGGGTTCAAGAGGTGCTTGGGGTACGGGGTACAGAGGGTAGCACGATGACAGGCAGACAAAGAGCACCCACTCCAGCCAAGAACGGAATTCTGCGAACAGCCTGTTGTCACAGGCTTCAGGGGGACGGAGTGATTTTAAAAGACAGTGCCAGAAGTTAAAAATAAAAAACAAGACCCAAAGGAAGCACAGCAGTTTGGATCTCTGAGCTTTGCAGTATGAGCAGCTGGCTTAAAATTGCAGCCCTAAACCCTAAAACCCCATCTACCACGCTGGGTGGATAACAACACATGACTTGTACGGCTACTCCGGGGACTACAGACAGCCCTAACAAATAGAACTACTCAGTGGGCAGCAGAATTACAGAATACACACACTCTCTCTCTCTCTGCTCTGGGATTACAGGCCTGTGCCATCATGCCCGGTCTTGGTGTCTGGCCCAGCGCACTCAAGGGTGGGGCCAGCATGGCAAGTGGTGCCAGGATTAAACCCCAATCCTTGAGCTTACCTAAGCAGTCCCATAGTCTGCTGAGCTATCTCGCCAGCCTTATGATAGTATCTCTCTTTCATTTTATAATCCTCTAGCATTGACACCTTCTTATAAGGAGACATTTTAAAAATTGATTATACTTTCTCATACTAGTATCCACTGGTCATCTATCCAAAACACAGACATTTATCAAACTGACCACCCAAGAAAACGTGAAACAAATAGAGGCATTTAATATCTGAATCTTGAGTTCTGTCTCTTTAAAAATGCTAACAGCCCTAACAAATAGAACTACTCAGTGGGCAGCAGAATTACAGAATACAGTGTCATCTCATAAGGAAGTGAAAGTGAAAATAACCTGCAGCTAGTCAAAACTAATTCCTACCCCAGCTGGCAGTAACTAGCGCTCAATCAAATATTTTAAAAATGCATTTATTATAATATAAAAGGGACATGAGGAACTAAAGTAAAATAAAACACACAAGAATTCCTTTTCCTTTTGTTTTGCTTTATTTGACACAGGGTCTCACTGTGCAGCTCAGATTTGTAGCGATCCTCCTGTGACACAGATAGGCGGGCTGCCACCCTGCACAACCGCTTTCTTTGCCATACCGCACGGAACAAAGCTGCTGGGAACTGAATGACAGCTGCCCTGCCGAACACAGCCACTGCCTTCTCTCCCTCTATTTCCAAGAGAACAGTCATCTCACTAGCAAATATGTGAGCAGAAATACTTCGAGTGTCAGTATCTTCATTTAATTAAGAAAAATAAACAAATTAGAATCTGATCTGTCTTCTTCCCCAAATAACACTCCTTATTCTTACATATTAATCTGGATACATTTTTAGGTATAAAATCTAATAAATGCAACACGCAGGCATTTGAAATTGGATTAGCAGAGATACTTTCCCAAGACAGACTGTAGTATGTTTACGGTATCTTTCTTGTCCTGTCACTTCACCGCGTATTTCTGAGGTTATTTCATGCATATAATGTAAAAAGTGACACAAGATAAACATAGGTGGCCTGCCTCTTCTAGGTTACCGCAAACAAGCGCATACCTGACTTCACTGCCGCGATCACCCTCGCCGGAGTGGTCACTGCGCTTATGAGGTTACACAGTGAGATGCCGCTGCTGCTTGCTTTCTGAAGCTCTGGTGCTTTTAAACGCCACTTTTCTTGTAATTTCTTGAGAAATGAAAGCATGTTATTTTCGGTTTTAATATCAAAGATGTACAATATAATTCAATTTCTTAAACATGTTTTAAAGCAGTAACGACTACAAGCTCTGAATGTGAATGAGGAAAGTGCCATGTCCAGCTGCCCGCGTGGCCCAGGTCGCTGTCACCCACGGCCGCAGCGGGGGCCTGTGCAGCGCCTTCTGCGCTCGGCTCCCAGCCACGGTGGAAATCGCTAGGCCCAGCTGCCATAGGTTCCAAAGGAACTGTCAACTGTAGGGCCGGCCGCCTGCAGTAACAGCCATGCTGGCAGATAAAGTGCACACAGGGTCGCAGAAGTCCACATCAGTGAGCTTGAACCACCAAAACATCAGTGAAATTTGAAAAACGCACACTTCCACAAATTTGGAAATGAAAAACTGTCATTTTATTTAAATATTATAAATGATTATAACTTTTAATACTTTGAGCCAGAAGACACAAAGATTGTACTCTATTTGTGCAGGAGATTCAAGTAACTCCCATACTTCAATACTTATTAGGGCCGGTCAAATAGCTCAGTGGATTAAAGTGCCTGCAAACAGGGGCAGGGGCCGGGGATTCAATCCCCTGGCCTGCCGTGCCGGCCACATCCCCGGGGCGCACTGAGATGGCATTGAGACTGGGCACTGTGATGTGCACCTTCCAGCTGTTGGGTGGCTATAAACAGGCGGTTCACTATGAGTCCAATCTAGTAGTGAGACCCTGAACACCCTTCCCTTAAATACAAAAAAAAAACCTTACTATACCGAACAGAGGAATCAGAACAGAGGATCTCTGACTTACTGCTGTGAGAAATGGTATCAAAAACAATTGAAAGCAGAGATTTAACAAGGAAGGAAACTTAATTCTAGAACACATTAAAAGAAAGAAAACTGAAAGTATTTACACCCTTCCTAAAAAGGATGTTTATGTACATGCTGTCATTTCCAAAAATCATGAAAATCTATCGCCCACGCACGAGACCCAAATTCTATGATTTTAGATCAAAGAAAACTACCTTTAATTAAAAAAAGCATTAGATTCAGTGAGTCACCTTTGTTTCTTCCAGAGATTTTTCTAGATCTTCTGCACCAAAGGAGGGCTGCAGGATGGGAACCTGTGCTGTCGTTTCTTTTATCCATGACTTTAGCGATTTAACAAGGACTTGGAAAGCTTCCAGTTGTTCTTGACAAGACGTTACAGCTTCTTTTCTAGTTAACAAAAATCATACTAAAATTTAAGCCACAAAAGGAGAAGTTCCAGGACAAATTACTAATTAGCAATTTCTATTCTTACACTGGGTTTAAATATTGCAAAGCACCCTGCATGCACTGCATCACTGTTTGATACAGAAGGGAAGTTTGCAGACAAGAGACTTCAGCTAAATAAGTACCCCACAAAGTAAAGAGAATAAAGAATCTGTAGCCCATTTAATGTTATTTAAATTCAGTGAGCTTTGTTCTATCCATTATATGATGCTTAATGCCAGCAGGCAAAGAACCACAAAGGGAACAAATAAATACAAATCTGCACAAAGGAGCACAGTGCCACCTAGAGGTTCTAGCGCTACTCTGCAGTCACACTGGATAACAGGGAGCCAAGTCAGACCTGTGCCTGGGGGTGCTAGTAAGGAAGACCTTCACGGAGGACCCTGGAATGGAAGCGCACGGTGAATTACGCAGACCCGTGTGTGCGCAGCCCCATGAAGGAGCACAGAAGCGCAGCCCACGCGCTCCAAGAACCGCTCCAGGTGTCACACGAGTGACCCACGCCCACAGGCAGGTGCAACGCACTGAGGAAGGCAAGACTGCCCGCAGCTGGAGAATTACTCACGACTAATGGTCTTAAAGAAGAACAAATGACCTAAAGATTACTCAAATGTGGAACATTTCTTCAGTGAAGTGCGAGTTACTATCATATGACATGATAAAAACACAGCGGTATGAGCAGCATCAATCCTACAGAATTTCAAAGAAATTAAGTAGCTAAAAAGGAAACTGCTCTTTTCCCTTTCAGGGGTTCTTCCACCTGAGTTGTAGCCAAATCAGATATGTATGCTAAACTGGCATGAGAGCAGGAATACAAAAGTTGCATTCCCAGGCTGATCCCTGTGCAGTGTTGTAAGCTCAAGTCGGGTTCATTCTTTTCTTAAAGAACGTGGTTCCTCTAATCTTTAAGAAGTAAACTATTGAACCAAACAGGCTATGAAGAAATGGTCATCCTAAAATAGTGGGTAGTTTCTGAAATGGTCCAGAAAGCAAAGAACCATATACTGTCTTTTATTTTTCATCTTTGCAAATAAAAATGTGACATTTGCCAAAGGCTTTAGACCCTGCAGTGAGGCTAAACTGTTCTCAGTTATACACTACCCTCTAATTTTCTTATGTAATATTTTCCTCTTTTATGAAAGAAACACTGAATTTTCTTTCTACATGTTTTAACAAATAATGTACTTAATTTTTATAACAAAAATTATCAAACTATCGGGCCAGCGAGATAGCTCAGTGGACTAAGCACCTGCTTAGGCAAGCACAGGGGCCAGGGTTAGATCCCCAGCACCACATGCCATGCTGGTCCCACCACAGGGCGCACTTAGCCGGCCACTGAGACTGGTGTGGTAGCGCATGCCTGTAATCCCAGCACTGGGGAGACTGAAAACAGGAGGATCACTACGAGTCCGAGCTGTGTAGTGAGACCCTGTACCAAATACATTAAAAAAAAAAAAAAATCAAACTATGAAAACTTAAGTAACCCTATACCTTTAAGTTTGATACTTACAGAAGTTTCCAAATTTGTTTCAGTTATCAATATAAGTAAATACAAATCACTCATCTAATTAGTATCAAGAGAAATAAAATGCAATTTTTAAAGTGGTACTTACTTTTCTTTGATGGTATCCTCCATTTCTTTGAATTTTTTAGACAAATTATTTGTTTTTTCAAAAACCAAAGCCTTATCACCTGGTAAGCCATGGCTGGATATCTCCGTCAAGAGATTATGTAAAGCTTCAAGATCTTTCTTGTGTTCTAAGAATTCAGAAGTTGACTCCTACAAAATATTTAGATTTTCAGTTTACACGCTGCTGTATCTTTTTTTTGTTTGTTTGTTTGGGTTTTTTTCCATAATTTTATTGATAAACAAATAGCAATGAGATAGTTTCAAATCAAATTGGTAGGACAGTTTCAATAATTAACACATTGCATACATTCCTCCCAGTGGTTAATTGCTGTACAAGATGCGGACATGATATCCTATTTACAAACACCATTAGAACAAATCCCTCTATTCATTCGCTGCTGTATCATTAAAGGACCCCTAGGTACGTACAGGAACAGAGTGGCTCTACTGAGAATTTCAGAGGCATGTACCTGGCTACAGTTAATATTAGATACAATAAACATGTAGATAAGCTATCTGAAAAATAACACAGTAAAATTTATTTCATTTTAAAGTATACTCTGTATTTTGACTCTTGGTAGGTTCTGGAACATAAGATGATGTTTCTAACATCTGTGATAATTGCTATTTATTTCTATTCAGGGCAAAGGTAAAGGAAAATGGTCTGAAACTTACAAAGAAGGAAAACAACCATCTTTATCAACTGAGAAGCATACTAACTGCTAATTATAATTCTGCCAATCAGTGTTGAGTCATTAATTAAGCTCCACCTCAGAAGCACTAAGACTTGCCTGCATATACTGTGACAATTCAGTAACATCTTTTCCCGGCACATCCACCTCAGTGAGAGCCTGAGTTTTTGTTTCTAAAAATGTCTGGAGCTTTCCGGAGAGGCTTTCAAACCGTTCTACTTTGGTTTTCAGCTCCTCCATCTTGGCAAGTTTTTCTCTGTGTTTCTGACTGGCTTCTGAAAACCTCACAGACAGGTCCTTCATTTTAGCCTGCAGTGAGGAAGCAGTGGATGGGTCTGTTGTTTCCATAAATTTCTTCACTTTTTCATTGATGGCATTAATACTGCTCTGACGACCTGCAATATCCTGTTCCAGCATCTGAAACAAACCAAATATTGCACGCATTTCATAAGAATGTTTACAAATAATGCCAGAGTTTAAAAAATTACTATTCATAACAATGTAAGCATGAAACACCTATGACTAAGAAGACTAATAACTGGAACTCAAGGACAAGTCTGAGACGTCCCTTGAGGAATTCCACTCAGCTCTCTTGGAGAGAAAGTGGCCAACAGCTGGTTGGCTGCAGAAAGAGGCAGGATGCTGCTGGTGCTCCTCAAGGCTGGGGCCTGCTGGAGCCTGGGGATTTCCCACATCCCTAATTTTTAAAAGGCTACACAATAAGAATGATCTGCCACACTTTGCCAGATGAGCTTTCCGTGCAGCTGGCCGCAGCGTGACAGCACATCGGATCCCATGGATGCAAAGTGCCCCACGAGGAAGGACACTCTTGACAAGCAGACAAAGCTCCCAGGCTCCACTACAGACACTCAGCTTACACTCAAGCTTGTACCGTCCATAGCACTCTAGTCAGGAAACAGTTTTTTTTTTTTTGTTATATCCTTAAATTTATCTTAAATCTACCTATCCTTGATGTTGACAAAACTAAAAATAAAAAGCAATATTCAGTGTTAGATTTTTCTTAAAATGTTACTTACAGTGTTTTTGCTGATGAGATCCTGAAGGGCAGCAGAGTTTAAGGGCACCTGGCCCTGCTCCTGCAGGGAACTCTCCACACCGGCCAGCCAGCCCAGCATCTCATCCAGGCCGTCCTGCACACTCAGGGAGCGGGTCAGGGTTATCTGGAGCTTTTCATTCCGTTCATTAACAGACTTGGACAGATCGTCGTATCTCCCAACGATGTCATCTAGTCAAACAGCACAAAATGTTAAACACAGCATTGGGCTGCCTCACAGACGTTTGCCTCATTCATTTTCTCAAGAATGCACCACAGTGAACCGTAACGCTTCCATACAAAACTGGAGCAGGAAACAGTCTAAATGCTAAATTCATGATGTATAATCAGGATACTATCTAAGACCCCAAGAAATAAAGAAGCAAATTAGTAGAAAATAAACTATTGGAATTTTAGAAAAGAAAACAGATCTATCAATGGCATTTGAAAAGAGATTTCTGGATACACACATGTTTGAATTGCCCCAGAGAAATGAGAGCATAATACCTCTAGAACAGTAAAACTAGGTTTCATTCTGGCATTTTAAATTAGGAATACCTACTGATATCTAGGGGGAAGTGACAGTCATATAAAACTAGTATCCAGAGAATACACCGTGATAAAGATTTATCAAGAATTACCTTTAAGACAAGGAGAAAATATTAAGGTTTCTGGAAAGCAAGTGCTTTCAATTATTTCCCCAATCTTGCACAACTGTATCTGTTAATCTGAGCAACAGATTTGATGGTAAAAACAGGTAACAACCATTGTTAATTAGCTATTCCTGGTTTGAAAATCTGTAACATCTCTATTATTGTATGTTACCCTGCTTCTGTCTTTTTTTCTATTTCTTTTTGCTTTTATTTTTACTCTTCAAAATAAAATAAAACTTTTAAAAAAGGATTAACTTTTAAAAATAAAATTACCACACCTTCTGCTGTACACACAGTGCTATGCTCCTGCTGTAGAAGGTACCTTCAATGCACAAAATTTAGCACATGAAAATCAAGTAAGAAAATATACTACCAATGAAAACCTACTTAAAACTGAAATCATATTTCTAAAATATAAACAGAATTTACTTAAAAATGTAATAGTAGAAAAAGGGTGAGAAACAGACTAACTTATCTCATATGAGATAAACTT